TGATGACGACATTGGCACACAGACACCCCGAACAATATCTCCACTAGAGCCGTTTTACTCGGTATTTACAGTACTTTCGTGATGGCGGACCCTCTTATGTGATGATGGTTGATGATGGTGATGATGATGATGATGATGATGCATGATGAAGGATGATGATGGATGATGATCGATGATGGTGGTGGATTGAGGCGCCAGGTGGTTGGAGGGGGGGTGGCTAGTACTAGTAGTAGTAGTAGTAGTAGTAGTAGTAGTAGTGGTAGTAGTTGTTGTTGTTGTGGTTGTTGTTGTTGTTGTTCGACAACGACGATACGATGCGGACTTTGGTATAATAGTCGTCGCCATCGCAGCATGGACCAGTCACGATCCAGACGACAGCTGTGGATCGATGCAGATCCTTCCGGCCTTGTGTGGACAGGTACTGTGGTATCCGGATTTCATTGCGGGGGCTTTCATGCAGTCCCACACACACACACACCGATGAATGTAATTGAACTTGAGCTCGCAGCAGTAGTCATTGTACATACCATCCGCAGTACTCAGTCTGCGAAGAAAGGCCTCGACTGCGATGATGATCTCGCCATCTTGGCAGCGCAGGGCCTTGAGGCTTCAGTTAAATTTCAGTGAAGGGCAGTGAAGTGCCTCGGCGCTACGACTTTCAGGCGTTAGCAGCTGTGACACTGTGAAAGCATGGATTTTGGAGATGAGTGCCGGTTCATTGCTTTCAGCCGGGAATATTTCTGTCAAAAGCTAGAAGCACACTTGCCCGCAAGGCCACCGGGGAGGCGACCGTGGCAGGCCTGTCCATCTGTGCAGGCGATCCTGCGAATGCACTACCCATATACCCTGCCAGGGCTTAGCTTCTCATTTTTTGTCGACGGCCAGCCAGCTATGCAATCTTCGAAGCAGGGTAGCAGCTGAGACAGTAGGATATTCGAGTGATGTGCGCACTTGCTGCAGTCGAGAGCAAAACCGTTGTTGCACTACCAGCCGCAGAAGAGGGCCTCAAGGGAAGAGGAGCCACAGAGCTGTCTGCTTTTTCTGGGGCCGAGGCAATGCGCCGCTGCTGCACACCTGGGAAAACGCGAAGACGCTGCAGTCCGTGGCACAGTTCCACTGGAATCTTTCGAAAGGTGCAGGCGGAAAAGCGCATGTAGTTGCAGTTCTTCGGATGTTGAAGTACGGCATTTGCATGTCTCGCCTCGGGGGTCTGGGTGGGAAGGTTGCAGGTGTCCCGTACGAGTTGCTACAGAGACTACGTGCTGCGTGTGTATGTGTGTGTGCGCAGAAGCTGTACGAAACTGTTGGATGCTACGGAGTAAAGATGGCGCGGGATTCGGGATGAAGCCAACTTTGGGTTGTCGCGATACACGGTGCCAGTTGTCTCCTTTTGTCCGACTGGTTGCTCCAGCGGAAGGTTGGAACACCATGCAGCCGGCATGGACCTCCTTACGTCTGTTGGCACGCTGCATCGACGAGGAGCTTCTGTCTCATCGCTAGTGTCTTGATGCGCAGTTGGCGGCTTCATTCTCAGTGGATTCCAGAGTCCGGCGACGTCTTCCACACCAGGAGGAGTCCAGCGATGCTGCCGAGGCCATCATCCGCGCCGCTGCGGCCTTGCCAGCTCGCAGCCTCACGGTGGGTTCATGGGACGGGGGCCGGGAAAACGCATGGCCAGACAGACTCAAGCATAAGGACATTGGTATACTTTAGGCACATTTTCGTCGGATGATGACAGACTCGGTACACATGGATGAGTCAACCACAAGAAGCAAGGACATGGGCTGATTTGTTTGTTGGTGCTGGTCGACAGAAATCTTGGGATGAAAGTACTTAGAAGTGAACACTGCACTTTGGTCCGGAAGCATGTAAGTATTAATTGAAGAATTTTCCAGCTTCTGGAGAGCTGTTCGCAGTCAAGCTGACCCAAAATTGCTTTACGTCTTTCTTGCTCGACGATTAGTGGCTTGTGAGATGATTGATGACGGTGGGAAGACAGACTCATGCGGAGGTCTTGTGCCTCGGCCCTCCAAGTAACCTGGCGCGTGCCCTGCGTCGTGCCCCCTGGCTCGCGGAACGCCTCGAGATGGCGGTGCTCATGGGCGGCGAGCTCACACAAAGCAGTCCGGGGCCCAGTCTGCTTTTTTCTCTCGAACTCGGAGTCACGGTTGGTGCAACAGCACGGAGGTATCTCTGCCTTTCTTTCTCTCTCTGTCTCGGTGTCTCTGGCTTTTCCTCTCTTCTCGATTTTGTTTCCCGTGATCTCCTGGGCGCTGTTGTCGGCAGGACTGGATCTGAACTTCATGACAGACCGGGAAGCTGCTCGTGTCATCCTGGCTTCGAGCTTGCCGACGATGCTGGTGGCCCGCCCAGACTCCTGCCTTGGGGGTTGCCCTCTCTCCGCGTTTTTTCTAAAGTTGCTCTCCTCGAATCTGTCAGCTGGAGCTAGGAATGTGCGAAGAGCTTCCGAACATGAGCGAAAGATTGCGCATGGCACCAGCTTCAAAGGCCCTTCAATGGTCAGCTCAAGTTGACAAATTTCATCTGCAAGGCAGAATTTGATTTTGCCTGTCCTTGCCCGACTAATTTGGGACATGTTCGCCCGCACGATTGTGACAACACTTGCTACATCGTGCAGTCTTGCTGGATCTAATCTTGCTTCACAGACAACCTTGCGACAAACCTATTTGTCGTAGTCGTCAGCCAGTAGATGCATGATACACACCCACATATGTATGCATATGTGTATATAAATGTGTGTATATATATATATGTATATATATATATACATATATATATATATGTATATATAAATATGTATGTATGTATGTATATATATATATGTATATATACATATATATACATATATATCTACATGATATATATATATATACATATGTATATACATACATACATACATATATATATATATATATATATATATCAAATACACATATACTATATACACGTTCACATATACATCTAGATATATTTGTATATACACACACGTGTATACAAACACACACACACATATACATATAGATAGATAGATAGATAGATAGAAGAGGATGTGCGTATGTATGTATGTGTGCATGCATGTATGCATGTATGCATGTATGTAGTGTCACGTGCTCCCCGGCCCTTCCCTGCAAGGGTCATAGACCCCGTGTCGCTTTCGCCTTTGGCAAGTCGGTATGGGTGTCTTTGGCTTCAATCCTTCCTCTCCCTGTGGGTCTCGCCTTGAGTGTCCTTCCCTTCTGGTACACAGGAGTCACGAGATTTGAAACCCAAGCCATCCCGTCCCTATTTTGGTTGGCATTCGTGAGACGTCACCGTAATGTCGAGATCTGAAAAACGACAACATTTGCGAGGAATGCAGCCCGGATACAACATATCGATTGAGGCGGCATAGCGAGGTCGAGGGCAAAAATCAACGATTTGCATCCTGGCTCCCTTCTCGCAACAACAAGAAAACTACGACATGAATACAGACATACAGACATGCAGACATACGCTCATGTATGCGTAACTACATACATGCATGCACATATGCATACATATAATATATACAATAGCATACATGCATACATACATACATACATGCATGCATGCATGCATGCATGCATGCATGCATGCATGCATGCATGCATGCATGCATACATACACACATAGAGAGGCACATAGAAATACATGCATACAGCTACATACATCGATCTGTCCATGGATGCGTGCATGATACACATGCTAGCACATTTTCACAGATACAAACACAGAATTATGCATATATGCGAGTATACCAAGACATGTAGCTATCCGCATGGGTCCATACCGTTTTCATGTACCTCCGAGCTGATTGTGTTTGAAGCCCAGGATTGTGTTCCAACTCTGGCATGCCGACCGAAAGTAGTGAACTTCGATGCTTCGAAGCCTCTCGAACCAAGACGGAGCGGCAGACAGACAGCCAGCTGACGAGAGGGGAGAGAGAGAGAGGGAGAGAGAGAGAGAGCGTGGTTGAGAGAGTTTCAGCGAGACTCGCGAAGAACGCGCCGACCAAAAACAGACAAAGAGAATGCACAGCGGTGGCCCTTTGCCTGTCTGACAGTCTTCGCCTCGATTTCCACAAATTAGGCTTACATGCCTTCGCAGACATGCCTCGTCTGCAGAGGGTGAGCTGATGAACCATTCCTGACAACATCAGGTCCCCATCCAGACTTGCGCACAGGTGGCCGTGACCCCGGCATGGTTGCGGCGTGACTCGGACAGAGTCCATGCCGGAAATTGCGATTTGTCAGGTAGTCCGAGCCTGAGGTGGATGTCGAGGGGCAGTTTCGCTGTTGTGATCCCCTGGAGGTCTTGAGGAGTGTCCGCCACGGGCTGTGGCTCATCGGATCTTGCCCAAGATGTGGCTGCAGACCTGGGTCATGCCCAAGTTGGTTAATCGCCGGGTGAAGGCTCAGACGCTGCCGGGACGGCCCACAAGCTCTGGGCTGCAAAGCGGCTTCATCCCCTGGGATCTCGTGGCCCTGCTGGCCGCAAGTCGCCCGCACCTCTTCAGGACCGGCCGGAAGTAAACAAAACCAAGAAACGACCGAGTGCTGTGCGTTCTTTCGTGCTCAGCTGGGAATCCTGGGCCGTGGAGCTGCCTTCCTGCGAGCGCAGGGAGCCCTGCGATGGCACCATGCGATCCACCTTGCTGCTCCATCTCGATACCGAGAGCAACGCGTCCGACGATCCCTTTGCCACCTTCGCCCGGACATCGCCAGCCAACGCTGCTCTCATCCCGCCCCATGGCTCAGAAGGAAACCCGGAGCCCGCTTTGGGAAGGGAGTAGTTTCTCGGTGCGTTCAGGTGGCTTCGAGTCGAGGAAGGCGCGGTTCTGGAGCAGATGCTGGAGCCCTGGCTAAGTGAGGGGGAGGTTCTGTGCTTTGGGGTTGTGGAGTTCCCGGTACTTCTTTTGCACGGAGCAGTTGGGGGCAGCACTGCCAGGAGCTGCTCTGCAGTGTTCACGGATCTGGGCCCGAGACAAGGCAGCGGAATCGGCTAAGCGCCGCTGCATGTCAGGGTATGTCTGTTCCCGGTCTGTTGCATCTCACGCTGTGGTCTTCTGGAGGCTGCAGCTGGGCTTCATTCCTCAGCTCAGCCTGGCGGCGCTCATGATTCTCGCGGCAATTGTGCTCACGGCACGTGTCTGCGTTTCTCTCTGTACAAGGCTGGTCTCTCGAATGAGTCCTCCGAGCAGTCACGGCGCATCAAAGCAGGACAAGAAGGATTGAAAATGACTGGATGGGACGAGTGCTTGATGACCCCCGTAATGGACATGAGAGTATGTGCATCGTACAGAGTAGATGAAACTGATATGAATGAACTCAATGACAAGGGCTTTGTAAGGACTGCTGTCCTTCGTAGGGTTGACACATAAGAGCTTAGAAATGCCAGAGCCACGGCCGGAGCACCTCGAAAAGGTTCGTTCCGGCTGCTTGGGATGGGTGTCCTGTGCAGGCTGAGGTCATGGTGTCTGATCCTTCGTTACAGTGTTCCAAACACACTTGTAGGCAGAGTTGGGGTGTAGTTGGTGTAGCACCTACACCGAGCGAGCTATTTTCCAAAAAGATCGGCAGTACACCCAGAAAACCCTGCTGCAGCCTTGTTTAAGTCATAGTTACGCTTTCGTCGAATCCATTTGCTAGAGATTGCAAAGAGCAATCGTCCCGAAAATGACTTTCGCAAAGCCATGGTGCATCCCGGCTCGATGCCCCGGCAGGAAAGATTGGGGGCTAGCAAAGCACATGCTCAAGGTGTCAATTTCCGCCAGTGCCGAAGAGACTGTAAGTTCTGGATTCCATCCACATATTGCTGCATGCTTTAGACCAGCTGCACAGAGTTTTGGGCCTCGTGGCAAGCCGAGCTCGGCTGGCTCGGCTGAGCCGCTTCGGAGCCATGGCCGGTGCAGGTCGCCAGGGCGTGTAACGGCAACATAGGTCAACCAGACGGGGCTGTGAGTTCGGTAACGGCGAGGATATTTACCAAAAGCCCTGACTTGGTCATGAAAAACTGCCTTGGGACACAAGCCTCCGCTTTGCGGCCACACTTCGCACCTGTGCATCGACCTTGAGCGCATCCAACCGGCTGAGGTCTAGAGGTAGTTTAGAAGTGTCGGATCTCTCGAAGCCGAGACGTCTTGGCGAGTTTGAATGCATGGGCAATGCATTGGTTTGTTTAAATGAGTGCCTAGCGATAGCAGAGAGTTGCGGAGATTCAGGCTTGAGGATCTGGATTGTTGTCCTGCTTGGCCTTCCAGCTGTAGATCTCTCCTGGTTGGTTGTTCCTAGTCGTCGGCGAGTCGGACCAGACCTCCGAAACCGGAGCGTTCGCAGAGGTGAATTGTAGTTCATGCTGTCAAATTCTATATGTTTGTGCGGAGCTCAGAGGAGCAGGCCCCCCAAACTAGTCATTTCAGAAACGATTGGCTGGCAGGTAAATGCGTTATCAGCATGTGGACAAACGTAGGACTCAAAAATTAACACATTTGCTGCATAAGATCGGCTAGTGTAAAATACTGATAGTAGCAGCTTACCCTGAGTGAATCGCAGGAGTACTGTACCCAGGAAAGTTTGTACTCAGACATAGTAAGACAAGGGGAGGTACAGAGTGAAAAACTGGATTGGAAATACTGTAGCAACCAGAACCGTGAGTATAACCGCAGTAATAAAGACACGGGTATTGGCAACAATGCCGTTGGTAAATGTAATGTAATAGTAAGACTCGTGGTACTGGCATAGAAAAGCATACTTAGTATTCAAATTCACTTTACATATGACCAAGAATAGTGAATATTTCAATGGTCTGCAGGGACGCGACGACGATCCTACATGATTCAGGCACGAAACATGGGTACAGGAAGGGGGGGGACTAGCATATATAGATACACATGCTTGCACACGTACAGACATGTACATATGAAACGTATACATTTGTCTTACCAACGTGTTTATGCATGTAAACGTATTGTATATGCTAACCGATCCACCGCGAGATCCGCGCAGTTGTCAGTGGCAACCACAACGAACTTAAACTTCTCGTGAAGCCTTATAACCTCACAGAGTCGAGCGTATCTTTGACGATGCTGATAGATGTCATGCAAGCTTCAAGCATGTTAGCCAGGCCAGTATTGAATGTCGCACACCGTTCCTTCGGCCTGGCGTTTGAAGCTCCCAGTACAGCGTTCCTTTCAGTCAATAATCTACCTGAACCTACCTACCTATCTATCTATCTATCTAGCTAGCTAGCTATCTATATCTATATCTATTTCGCTGCCGAAGTCTTTATCGATATCTATATCTATATCTGTATCTATATCTGTAAACTTTCTCTATATCTATATCTATATCTATATCCATATCTGTATCTATATCTATATCTATATCTATATCTGTATACATGTATATATATATATGTATCTATATCTATCTATCTATCTATCTATCTATCTATCTATCTATCTATCTATCTATCTATCTATCTATCTATATATATCTTGACCGGGTGTGAACGGGTCTGATGTGTGGGTTTACAGCAGCGTCTGGTGATCAAGACGAACAAATGTTGTTTATGATTCATGTTTCACACACCCAAGCAGATTCTCCCTTTGGGCTTTGAAGGGGATCCGAAGCAAGGGCCAATTCTTGAAAATGTTTGTGGCAAGATCGATGTGGCTTTCACTTGCCGGCGTAATCCATGCACTCATCGCACGTGCATGTCAGTGTGGCGCGCCCGATCTGGAGGCCCTTTGACTGGGCGCTGTTGAGTCCGCAGCTCCAGCTGAGCCTTGGCTGTTAAGGAAACACTTTATTGTATTATGGTGACAGTGTGGCTGCAAAGTGCCAGTTTCAGGAGTTGTCAGACGATCGGGAACATCTGAATGAAACAACCCAGAGCGAAGCAGACCCAATTTCGGAGCTGTAAAAACTGGTGGGCTGATCTTTACGCAGATGCAGCCTGGAAGTTTTTGTCGCAAGATTCCTCCTGCATGAGATTGAAGATAGCAGCTCAGCTCCTGCAGCCTTGCGCGCTGCCGAGGTATGCTGCCCGCAGTGGCGGCCTGGTGGAGTCGGGATGCTCGGCTCTTCGCTAGGGAAAAAGGTGTGAGAAGGAGGCTTGGGACTTCGAGGCAGTTGTTCTTTTTCAACAACTTGGCTCGTGTCCGGCACACGACATTGCGAAATGGCAGGGGAAAAGACTGAGTTCGTGGGATGCCTCGCTCATGATTAGCTCATGATGGCAAGAGGTTGCCACTGACATGCAACCGAAGTTTTTTTTTGCGAAGACGTCGAATATCTGTATTGATACGGTGCGCTCATAGCCAACAGCTATCAGGCGGGTTTACCACTAGCACATCTTGATCTGCTGGCAGGAAGGTCGGACAGGTGTGTAGCAGCAAATGCAACATGTCAATTTGCCCACGTGCCGCGCTGTTTCAAGTCTTCTAGGGCATGTTCGAGCAGATGCACGACAACCAGACATGTTGCAGGCGTTTTGGATTCCCAGAGCATTTATCATCCGCATATCCTCGCGGGTACATCTTGGACCAGCTGCACATGATGGTAGGAGTGTTCGTTTCGGCTTCCTCGTTGAAAGCCGAGTGCCTTGCTGCGGAGCCATGGCTGCGCGAGTAGGTCGCCAGCAGGCACCCGGATGTGGGGATGGTTTCGACGGCTACTGTATCTCAAAGCATTTGAAGACATTTGGAGCTTTGTGGATCTCTTGCTTGTATGCGAGCAACATTGAGCAAACATGGGGCGTGGAGTTGAAACAAGAAACTTGTAAAGACCGATGAGGGGTAGGATCGTGGGCTGCATAGTCAGGAGTCCGAAGTCTGAATGGCTTGCTCGAACAATCAGGCTGTTCCCTCATCCCTGCAAGCAGCTCCCCCCCCACCTTGTCAGGTCTTACACTGTGCATGACATGTGCTCCTTCAGGCGATGATTTGCAGAAGCCGTGCTTCTGGTTGCATAGTCAAAGTTTAAGTTCCGTTTTACACCCGAAGCGGAAAGACCGTGCACCCGAAAAGATGAAAGGTCCGCCTTTGGCGATCCCTGGCCTTGGCACTGGCTTGCTATTGGGCCTCGAGGCACAGATGCACAAGACGGGGTTCAGGAGTTTAAGATTGGATGTATAGTTTAGGCTTTAGGGAGGGTTTAGGATTTAGGATTTGGGGCTTTCAGGGTACTGGCTTTCGGAGGGTTTGCATGGCTTGCAAAGGCTCTGCCGATCTCGATCTGGGCATAGCCGTGAGCGGCCCGTGGATTGTGGATGGCACACATGCCTCACGCATTGCGGGAAGTCGATGCAGTCAAGGTCCTCTCGTCGTCATGTGTAACAAATGCCCCTGAAGCTGGAATGTATCTTCTCGCAAGCTTTCATCTTGTCAGTGCATTCGTGGCTCCCGGCGTCCACCCGGCGGCGCCAGTGTCGCGAGGCACGGTTGTGCTTGCGGAAGGAAGTGCTTCAGACCTGGAAGTTCGAGGAAGCGCAATGGGGAAGCGGCTCGCGGTTGAAGAGCGCGACGCCAGGTGTCGATGCGCCCACAGCCCGCTCCGCGCCAGGGCCACAGATGTTGGGGTCAGGTCAGGTTGGCATGCTTGCTTGGAGGTTTCTGGCACGGGAACTCAGGCGAAAAAGTTGTTGCATGTTGACTGTATCGCGACTGTCTGGGTTCTCACGCCTTGAACCTGAAGCTTGGCCGCCCTGCGTCATCAACCCCGAGATCCTTCGATAGAAACCCCCCCAAATCTGCAAAGCAGCCGTTGTCCGCGGCGACTCTGAGATCGAAAGCCGGAAGACACGGGTCTGTCCGCTACAGAATGGACTCACTTTTAGCTCATATGCATTCCTAGGCCCTCGCCCTCTGTCTGTAGCGGCTTCTAAGCCGAGAGAAGAGCCCCAGCCCGCGTCGTCCCGCGTCGTCCCGCGCGCTTTCGCCCCGTGTCTGCTGCGAAAGGTTTGGAGGTCCGGGCGGCCCAGGAAGGTGGGGCCCAGCACCAGGGTGGGGGCGAATCTCTAAAGCCGTGTATGGGATCTTTAGAGACTGTTTAGATTTAGGATTTCCGGTCTGGATTTTGGGGAGGCGTGCTTGATGCTCGTGCTTGAGATGGAAGTGTTTCCAGTGTGGTGAACTGAACTGGTGATCTCTGACCGAAGATGTTCGTGCAGTTCCTGCTCTACGTGGAGCCAGGTAGATGTGTGCATGCATACATACATACATACATACATACTT